GTTGTCCAGGATGGTCTTGAACTTCTGGGCTCAAGCGATCCTCTGGCCTCAGCCTACCAAGCAACTGAGACTATAGGCTTGGGACCCACGTGAAGCTTCACTGGCTTATTTTTAAAAATTCTTTTTACTAAAGTTTAATATACATACAGAAACCAAATGTATCTCAGGTATACAGCCTGATGGATTTTCACAAACTGAACACATTTATGGAACCAGCATTTCCTCTAAAATGCAAAGAGCAGGTTTACTTGTCGGGAGAAAACAGGAATAAGGGCCTGGTAGGAAGGAGGAGCTAGGAGAAGTCTTGAGGATGCTTCTGCATAGGGAGCCTGGCCGTATTCGCAGGCCTTGGAGAGGGCCCTGGGAATTACAGGGTGTGGGCGATGCGAGGATCCACCAGTGTTCCGGGGTCACACTCTGTTCCGGTCTCATGAGCTCTGGGGTTTCCTCTCTGACCACAGGCATGGTTCTGGACCTCCTGAAGTCCCTGTGGTTAGGATGCTGTCCGTCTCCATAAACACACCAACTCTCTTTTGGCTAGTATGTTTTCAAGGCCCATGAACAGTGCCATCCACACAGGATGCCACAAAACAATTTTTCCAAAAAAGAGTAATAGTACCTGGAAGGTGCTCAGTAAGTGTTTAAAAAAAAGTCACAAAAGGATCCACTAACCCTGCAATACTACATTTGTGAATATGTCCCCAAGAAAATCATCCTGCGTAAAAGTAACATAAATGTGGTGCCCACCTATAATCCCAGTGCTCTGAGAGGCCAGAGAGGAAGAATCGCACATTCTCAAGACTGCAAACCTGGGAAAGTTAGAGATTTATGGAGTTCCTGTCTCAAAATTAAAAATGAACAATGGCTAGGGATGCAGCTTAGTGTGAAGGCTCTGGGTTTAATTTCCAGTACCGCTCAAAAGTACTTATATGTATGTTCTATATGCATGCACACAGACACCGCTGGTTATGGTAAAATCCTAGAACTAACTCCAAGACTGTGCTAATAAGGGGGAGTAGCTGTGCGGCTATGAATTGCTGAAACAGTGCACAGCATTTTAGCAAAAACCGTCCAGTGTATAGACTTCGCTGAAATAAAAACTTCTGAAAATCCAAAAAAGTGTTTAAAATAATATGTACATATTTATTGCAGAATGAAAGCTGTGAAATAATTTACAGTGATAAAATTGAGAGACGGTTGCACATTTTCCCCTTACTAAGTTGCTCAAGATTTTTGGAATTGCTCCCTTTCCTCCCAAGAAAGGAAATACAAACCATTCACCCAGACACGGTGCCAGTCGGGGAGCTCTCCGGGGTCCGCCCACCCGAGCTGGGCCTGCAGTGGCTACAAGGTCTCTGCCAGGCTTGCTGGATCCCTGATGGGAAGCACTGGCTGGCCGTGGGTGGCTGAGGAGCAGAAAGACTTTCCGGTCATTGAAATCTGATCAGTTTGCCGCAGAATCACCTTTCTTAATGAGTGAATTGGCTGCAGCTATTGCAGTTCTTTTGCGCAGAGCCCTCTGAGTAGATGCCATGTAGACATATTCCCTGTCACTGACAGGCCTTCCTTGGCTGATGGCTTCTGTGAGTTCACGTCTTTAGAAAAGATGGCCAAGAATCTGTCAACACCTTGAAGTAAGCTACCTCCACCAAAGCCCGGCTAAGCCAAATCTGCCGAGGTAATAACTAGTCATCATACTTAGAATTACCTTAGTCTTACATTATGCCCCATCTGTCATTTGAAGGGAGCTTTCTCACAAAAACAAACAAACAAACAAAAAACCCAGAGAGCATTTCCATGTGTACAAAGTAGTGTAGCAGTAGAAGCAGGAATGATTGTTGTTATCCTTGTTTCTACCTTATTCTTAGAGCTCCCTGTGAAGAAGGCAGGGTAGACCTTACTTGAGTTTTATAAGTGAGGGTTATACACAAGAATGCCCCTATCTCAGTACGTGGATGATGATTCTGATGTCAAGTATACATAGAAGGAATTAGAGGGGCTCAGCAGGGGCATCTGATATAGGGGCATCAAAGGAGAATTTACAAGAAGGGGTGTGATTTGGACTTGAGAGAAGGGCAAGATTTTCGGGCAAATCGAACCCAGAATTTTTGTGGGAGAGGTCATAGTGGGGAATGGGTGTCTGTTAGATGCAATGAGAATCGAGGCCAAAGAGATACTGGGATTCTTCACCACAAAGCCCTCAGAGGAGGGGTTTAGGGTCCCCCATTCGCTAAGTCCTGCCTCTGTGTACCTGCCTTCTTTGCAAGAGTGGACCGGGGGCCAATGCTTGCTTTTGCCACATGGAGTCTCCTTGCACCCCTCTGTGTGTCTGAGTCTGAACCATGGAGGCCTGTGATGGTGCCTTTGTTGTGAAAATGGTGGAAAGGGAGAAAAGGCAGGAGGGATGGAGTTACTGAGACTGACTCAGAGGTGCTGGGGTTGAAGATTTACTAATTCCAGGCTGATAGAAGGCCTGGAGCATCAGCCCGAAAGTTCACTCAGTGGCATTACTCATGATGACAATGATCCCATCCAGGGACACTTGAGGTAATTCTTCCCTGTAGGAAAGGTACCACTGGGCCACCCTCCTAGTTAGCTACGTATGAAAACCTGCATTCATTTTCCACCCAGAAACCATTTAGGGGAGAATCTCTCCCTTTAGAAGAAATTCCACTGAAGTGAAGCCCATTGACCTTATGCTCTGAAGGCATAGCCCACAGCAGCTCACCATGGGCATGTGACACAAGCTAGAGATTAGCATCATGCCCATCTAGGGTATTGTTCAGCCTGGGCCGGGGCTCTCCTTTCCTCCTTCCTCAGCTCCATATTTGGCCATCTGCTGAGGGCTACACCTGTCAGCCATCTTTACTGCTAGGGCATAAAGCCGTGGCTTCTGTTCTTCCACACTGTGGAGGTAATAGAGGTTCCCCTTGTGCTTCAGTCTGAGCACAGCCACTCATACAGCATAGTCTGGGAGGCAGAGTCCCTGAGAGCTGGCGCAGTGTGTCAGCTGGCTATTGAGCTAAGGCTACTCACTGAATAGAGTGTTTCTCTCCGGTCTGGCTATTCGGAACTCACTGTGTGTCAAAACTCGAGTGGAAATTTCTTTGTTCACATAATATTTTGTTTTTATGCCGAAATTCCTCTCTTTTTAAATTCTCTGGGGGTAGGATATAAAGAGCACCTTTTGCTACAGAAGGCTTTTCGGTGCTGCTTCAAATCCCACATCTAATTCATAATTGTTTATCATTTAACAACGTTACTATTAGTAAGGACTAATTATTGTATGTTGGCTGTGTGTTTACTATGTGCAATAGCATGTGTGTATAATGTACCGTGTTAAGAATCTTATACATTTAAGTACCCTGAACACTCAGCAACTCTGCAGTGTGGATTTTTTTGTTATTTTATTATGTTGATCCAACAGAGGAGAAATCGAGGCATAGCAAAATGAAAAAACATCACACAAGTAGCCTGTTGGGGAGCTCAGGTTCAGTCCTGACTCTTGACCTTCACACCACTGTGGTTAATGTTGTGTATCCCTCACTACCATCCTTTCACAGGCACTCAGGAATTATGGCTTCAGCTTACTCAGTCTCTCAATATTTCATTTAAATAACCAAAAATCTGATCTAATTTCAGTCTCACTACATTAGGTAAACAATAAAATGTAAAAATGTCTTAAGAGGTCATGGCTCTGGACTAAGTCACTAAAGCATATAGTTAAGTTGTCCCTCGGTCTAAGGAGCTACAGACTAACTGAGACCTTATGGAGTCCCTTTCCCAATGGCCTGGTGACAAGTGGGCATCCAGGGCCACTGTATGCCAAAGGAACCCTGTATGAGTCCTCAGAAAAAGTCCATCTGAAAACTTGCCTTCCTGGCTCCTGTGCTATGGCTATTGGCTATTTGGCATTTTGAAAAAAATTTGCACAGAAAATAGATAATACGATGGCTTCCTGGATAGCTCTTTTTAATGAGGAAACCAGGACTCAGAAAGGTTAAGTAACTCGGCTAAGGTCACACAGCTTTGGTGTGTTTAAAAAAGTGAATTAATGAAAATTGTGTGAATTATTTATTTGATTAACTCATTTGCAAAGTCTGCTATGTATAATTAAATAGACCATGGGTTAACAAGGACAAAAAAAATGACTTGGAAAGGCACATGAGGATGAGAGGAGAGATTTTAAAGAATTATGCCTCTTACAGAGGACCAGTGGGGAAGACCATGAATAACCTTTGCTACCAAAGTTGGTTGGAAAGACCTTCTTTTCGCAATGCGGCTTGACCTTGTGATAACGTGCTATGACAGAGGGGACACAGAGCTCTCTCACCTACAAGCAATGAGAATTTATTTGGCCCTTTCATAAAATGCAGACTCTGTCCTTTAGTTATGCAGTCCTGTGACAGAAATTAAATATGGTTGTTTTTAAACAAATTATTTAGTTTAACCAGTAGCCTAACAGAGTTTTGTTTTGTTTGTTTGTTTGTTTTTTTGAGACAAGATCTCACTGTGTACCCCAGGCTGGCCTCAAACTTGTGGCGATCCTCCTGCCTCAGTCTCCGGGTGCTGGGGTTACAGATGTGCTACACCCGGCATCTAACAGAGTTCTTGATACACAGCAGAGCAGCCAAGATGTTGAAGAATGAAATACTTTAATCCTCACATCTCTGAAAAGTGGTTCCAAAATTCCTCACAGTCCTACAGGTGTGTAAACTGAGGCTCAGAGTTTAAGCAGTGTACTGGAAGCCACTCTTTTGTGTAGGTAACAGAGCCTGATTTTCAGATGCAAAACTCTAAAGCCGCCCATTCCATCTGTCATCAGTTTTTGGGAAACTCTCAAGGAAAAAAGCACAGAAAATTGCAAGATTTCTTCTTTTTTTTTTAAGTGCAAGTTTTCTAACGATTTCTCCAGCCTCCATACAAATTCCCACATAAACCGAGGACTGGGCAATTAATGAGTATGATGTTGTCACTCACTCCATGTCTCTTCTTTGCAGCTCCCAAAGTGGCTGGAATCCACGAGAAACTGAAGTCTCCGAGAGCTAGAGCCCTCAGCCGCCTCGCTGCTGCTTGGAAGCCCTCCTTCACTCCAGGTTGCTATGGAGTCCTTTTTCATGTGGCATCAGAGCAGTTGCTTGTTTTATTCCTACCAGGCTGATTTGAAAGATAAAATCAGCTCCTTGGCCGGCATGCACTGTGCGTGCGAGTGTTGACGGACCGTGGGTCTTCAACTATTTTGCTGAGGCCTCAGGGTTGAATGGTGGGGTTGGGTGGTGGCCGCTAGCTGAGCCCCCCTAATGAGGAAGCTTCCTGTCATCAAAAGAGAAATGAGACTCATTGCCACCTTCTTCTTTCTGTTCCAGTGGAAGACCAGGTTTGCCATGTAGAAGGTGCTTGTCCCTTGGATGAACAGGGAGAAGTGACATCCCTCAGATTTCCCCCAGAGCTCCCCAGAACCCCCTGGTCTTCACATCCCTTGCTCATGGCATTTGCTGCAGCAGCCCACTGAGGGCTCTTTTCCCCAGGATCCTGGACTTGTGAGGAGGACTCCAGGCTGGGAAGATGCTGAGTTCCATCAAGTGCGTGCTGGTGGGTGACAGCGCCGTGGGGAAGACTTCACTGTTGGTGCGCTTCACGTCGGAGACCTTCCCAGAGGCCTACAAGCCCACGGTGTATGAAAACACGGGTGTGGACGTCTTCATGGATGGCATCCAGATCAGCCTGGGCCTCTGGGACACAGCTGGCAACGATGCTTTCAGGAGCATCCGCCCCCTGTCCTACCAGCAGGCAGATGTGGTACTGATGTGCTACTCCGTGGCCAACCATTCCTCCTTCCTGAACTTGAAGAACAAGTGGATTGGTGAAATCCGGAGCAACCTGCCCTGCACCCCGGTGCTGGTGGTGGCCACCCAGACTGACCAGCGGGAGGTGGGGCCCCACAGGGCCTCCTGCATCAATGCCCTGGACGGCAAGAGGCTGGCCCAGGATGTGCGAGCCAAGGGCTACCTGGAGTGCTCAGCCCTCAGCAACCGAGGAGTCCAGCAGGTGTTTGAGTGTGCTGTCCGGACTGCCGTCAACCAGGCCAGGAGGCGAAACAGACGGAGACTCTTCTCCATCAATCAGTGCAAGATCTTCTAAGGTCCAAGATCCTTCAGCTGACACCCATGAGCTCACCCCAGCGATGGACACGTGGAGAGATGGGAACAGGCGAGCGGTTTGTGGTGTGTCCCACACAGCCCGTGCTTTTGGGTAGAGTTGCTGATGAGACTGGATAGTATTTTCACTAACTACTCCTACAAGTGGACTCCTGGCCAAGTACAATCAGAGAACTCCTTCGAGAGGCTGTCATGAATATTCTATCTTCAATTAAAAAACTAAAATGGCTCCATAGTTTTGGACAGTGCTGTGAGTTTCCCAAATACTCCATATTTAAAGACACATTTTATTTAAATAATAACAAAATGTCTAGCTCTTGTATATAATTAGTTTTTGCACTTGGAAAGACTTTTCCTACATACTTGCAAGCAAACCATTGTCCGAGGAATGTGACCCTGTGAGGTTCTGCATTATGTGTATAGTGTTATTATTTTCCCCCAAATAGGAAAGTGGTTGAAACCACCTGTCTGCTGGATTTTTCTAGGAAAGCAAATTTTAAAATGACCATGAACTGTTCCTTGCAATTCTCTGTCACTTCCCTGTTATACAGAGTTGTATATATAGCACAGTTCAGTAACTTCTTAATACTTTCCAGTGATTTTGAACAGTTACCACTATATTTCCTGTAATTATAAAAAAGTATTTCTAACTTAATGATATTACCTTTTAATGAAAGAACTTCAGTTGCATGCGAAGTATTCCTCTCTCATTCATCAAGACCAATTGAAAGAAAAACTTTCCAGAGGAAATCACACTGCCCCAAGTAACAACAGCAGACCTTGGAACAGAGGTGGGAAAATACCACTGTCACATTGGAAACCACCGCGCCTTGCCTGCTCTTACTGTGAGGTGGTTCCTGGTCTCAAGAAAGAGGGCAGGTCTAGTGTTCTGCACAGGATGTTCTCATTCCAACCCTAAACTGGCAGGTGTAACAATGCAACTTATTAATCTGAGGATCTAATCAGAATAATTAGCAAGGTACTGACACTTATATGTGTGAGGGGAAACAGAATTTATAGATTTTAATCTGATGGATATAAAGCATCTGAGTGAAAAACAAGAATCACTAATCCCAAGCACAGGGAACAGGAAAGCTAGTAGTAAATAATAAATACACACACACACACCACACACACACACACACACACACACAGTTTAAACCTCATTCTATCTAGTTGCTTAAAAGCAATGATGTCGCTCATCTACTCAAGTTGAGAACAGAGAACTGTGTAACCTGAGGAATAAACTGGGAAGATATATCATTTATTACTCCCAGATATATCATCTACCTGGCAATAAAATAAAACCTAGAACCTCTCTAGTCACATTTGGGAAAGCACCCCATCATTCTGGGGTGATACGGCATTTACACACAGAAGGAGAAGCAGCTTGCAGAAATGACCAAACCAGTTTTTCAGATTCCTTATTTGATCAATTCTTTATAGTTATATTAGTGTCAGAAATCAAATTTGTGCTCACCCCACACTCTTTTCTTTTCCTCTCACTGGCATGCAGTAAAAGGCCTGGGATCCCACTCTTAGTCTCTGGTGGGAGCGTTGTGTGTGTTCTCTAGGGTTGCTGGGTCAGCCGTTAGCTGTATGTCAGGCCTTCACCCAAAATCTCAGCCTTACAGTCCCGTGGCCCGTCCTTGCCTCTGTGTCACCTGTGTCCCTTGACTCGAGAGCCTTACCTCCACTTCTCAGCACTGGGCATCTTCAGGGTTGGAGAACTGGGAAGGGAAGGGATGGGGATCATGTCCCTGACATCCCTGCTATCCCCTCCCTATCCCCCTACGCACAGAAAGACTTTAACAATGAATGCAGTTTCTAAGACCAGTCTTTGCAGTGTGTGTGCATGTGTGTATAGGGGGTGTGTTGAGCATGTTAGACAAGTGAGTTTCTACTTATTAAAATGGAGTGTCTCCTGTGGTTTTTCATCTTCTTGTTGAAGGGTGGGGGGTGCATATCTGAACACAGGAAGGGCCCAGGTACTTGGTTCAAGAGGAGTAAATTCCATGTGCGAAGCCAGGGCTAAGTCTCTCCATCTTGTGAGTAAGAAGTGAAAACTGATCCCTTTTCCCAAATTGTTGGAATTCATGTACTGTATGTCCTACCTGAGCATATGTTATTTTTGCCTGCCTAGACCAAGGCATATGATTCTCTCTCTTCAATACTTGTGATACCTTTTTATTGAGTATTATATGTCTGTTCTTAGCTATTCCAAGTAGCAAAATTAAATACGCTCTTGTTGAAAGAATGGATTTGAATGGTTGAGTAATTCATCCTTGGCTTATTCAGTCTGGGCTGCTGCAGTGGAACACTGTGTGGTGTGGCTCGAATGCAGAGTTCTGGAGGCTGGGGAGTCTGAGGTGGGGTCAGAGTGCTTTGGGTTCTGGAGAGGGCCATCTCCCAGCTATGACACTTGCGAAGAGGGAGGACATTGTCTCTCTTGAGTTTGGTCTCCTGAGAGCACTAAAGCCATTCCTCAGGGCTTCATGCCCTAATTACCTTCCTAAAGCCATACCATTAGGGGGCGGGGACAAACCCTCCCATCCTTAGCCATGCTATTCTGTCCTACTTCATACTGACCAGCTAAATACAGCAGCGGGGTCTAGAGTGATGAAGTTTGGCTGAGCGACAAGAAAACAGAAAACATGCTTGTGGCTAAAGTTTGCTGAGTGCTTCAGATGTGCGTGGCCCTGAGTTGAACAACGGCACGTCATGATTGCTGCACACAGCATGTAAATGGCTCACATTATAAGGAGTCTCTTCTTACTTGAGAAAATAGGCTCAGCATGTTAATGCGACAAGTCTAAGATAAATAGCGGGTGAGCAGCGCTACCAGCAGTCTCAAGGTCTGTGTGACTCCAAAGCTCTGCACAAAACCCACTTCCTCCCAGAGCAGCCTGGCCAAGTGTCTTTGCCACATCCTAGCTTGTGTAGCCCACAGTCCTACCCCTACCAGACAAGGGGCCTGTGTTTAAAAGATTATGCTTATTTTTTGTGGTGCTGGGGATCCAACCCAGGGGTGTGTACATGGGCAATTATTCTACCATTAAGCTACACCCCAGCCCTAAAACCCTTTATTTTTAAATAAAATATTCCAAATGTGGCCCTAACTTTTCCCTCTCATTTATCTTTCTGGCAACGAGAAATGAACCCACCTGATTCACAAATGCAGTCATTTGCAAAGCTGTCTATGCCAACCCGTGGCTTTTCAGTGTGATTCAGTGGTTTGGTATCGTATGACTTGGCAGAGATGAAGTTCATAGTGATTTGATGCTTTAGAAAGCCAGGAAAACATTCTCTCTTTCTTATCTTACTTTTCCACCCTCCCCCCAGGTTTTAGGTATTTCCTTTGAATAAGGAAAAGACAAGGGAGAGAAGAGCCTGGTTCTTTCCTTTCAAGGTTTTGGTACCCAGGATGAGATGGGGTAGAAGGATGGCACATCTGTAGGGCTAAAATGTGGCCTGGGACGCAGGTCCTCTGTGAGGATGTTCGCCCTCCTCAGTGCTGAGAAGGCAGTCCTTTTGGGTTGGATGAGATCAGCACAGCTCCACAGCAGGGACTTAAGCGTTCTGATAAAGCAAAGAAAAGTAATCACTGGCCAGGATCTCAAGCAGTTTTTCACAAGAAAAGATAAACTGTAGAAGTCACTCGTGATCTACGTTAATAAAGAGCACTTGATTAAGCCTAAAGTCCATATTAATGTTTTGGTGGGTTGTGGTGTTTCTACACAATGGGGCACTGCTCTGTCATGAAGGGTTGAGTCATGTGTAGGAACATAGTCGCACCGTGAGACCACAATGTGAAGTGAAATCGGACACACGGGCTTAAATATTGAATGGTTTCTCTTGTGTGAGAAACCCAGAGAAAAATAAAGATCGATAATAGGAAATAGAGAGATAGATTTTTCCCAAATGGGAAAGGGATCAAGAGATGTGGGAGGGGCAAGGGGAGGAAAAGGGGGTTCAAAAGGAATTAAGGTGTGTTATGTACATATACCAACTTCACATAAGGAATGTAAACATCATATACTATAAACATGAACTAATAAAAATATATATTCTTGCATGGGACTTAATACTTACTGGTAGACAGAAAGTAACAAAAATGAAGTAGTAAGAGGTCAGACCACTATGATACACTTTGGAGTCAGAACACCTGGTTTGTGAGTCTTTCAGCCTCAGTTTTGTTCTTGTAATACATGGTACTAATTTCTAGACTTCTCTATAAATATGGTATAACAATGACTGTGAAGTGCCTTGTGTCTGTAAACTACCACACATGGTATTCTTACTACGTTTTTGGTAGATGCCTATGTAGGGCACAAGCTGAATATTCTAGATCAGATTAGAAATTTCTAGACCTTGTTGGTTGTGGGTCACATGATGGGAGCTCACAAGCTCCATTTGTAATATTGTTAACTAGAGCCAGATGGGTAAAATGAGGCTCAGGATAATAAAAACAGCCCCAAACTATATTTGGATGCCTACTGCTTCCAGGGCTGTGATGGGCACTTTACAGACAGCCCTCAATTAGTGCTCAGGATGCTCTTGCAAGGCAGATATTCTTCCTGTCGATGAGAAACTGAGGCTCAGACATGAGAGAGATATTTCCCTCTTAGCTACTTTTCAAAATGTCCCTGTTTAACCATATAATTTCACCATAATAAACCCAACCAGCTGAAATGACAAGATCAGCTGTATTGAGCGTTCCCAGCACTTGCTAACTGAGTGGAGAGGGCCAGGTTGAGCAGCGCTTAGCACTATTCCTGTGTGACCTTCCTCACGTCTCAGGAGGCACGAGGCACCCCACAGACCTGGCTGGTCCTGGCTCCCTGTCCTCAGTCTCTCTCTGGTTCTGCTCTTGCCTGCCCTGCTCTGTGCCTGCAGGCAAAGCCCCAGGACCCATCCATCGCCCAGGATTTCATCTGGGTATGGCCCCAGGGAGACTCTAGCAGGAGGTCAGAAGGTTGGAGGAAGGGATGGAGGACTGTTTCCCCCCCATGCCTTTTCTGTTTGCTGTTGCTTATTAGGCAAAAGGTGAGTCCCTCTGTGGCAGCTCTTACCTTCTCTTCTGTGGCTCCTGCTTCCTCTGGGCTCTGAGACAGGATTTCCTTTCTTGATCCCTTAGCCCTTAAGGAGGCAGTGACTTCCTGATGATGCTCATTTTTGGATGCAGCAAAATCCCTGATGTGGTCCTTTAATAGAGACCTCTATGAGTAGTGCTTTCATTCAAAGCTTTACACTTGAACCAGGCAGAATAAATTTGGTTTCCTGTTAGACTCTGAGTGAAACATTAAATATTAACTCGTCCATATGTCCTGGCATTAAGCACTTACTCATAACCTTGATAAAAGGGTAGGGGTTGGCAGCGTGGGTAACTCTTTCCCAGAGCCAGGAAATATTCTCTACATCTGTTTTGGGGAAAAAAAGGTGGGTGGATTAATTTTATTCTGAATAAGCAAAAGAATCGATCTAAGATAATAGTATTCAAAAGTTGTAGGTCTTCTCATGACACATTCATATTCAAGAAACTCTGTCATTATCCACAAAGTGCAAAGAATGACTATGAACCGACAAGAAAAATAGTCCAGTTTTAAAGTGGATCATTCCCAAAAGAGAAAACATACATGACCAATAAACAATAGAAATGTTTTAACCCACCAAGGTGATATCATTTTCTAACTACCATTTTGACAAGCACGTTAAAAAGTATGACAATATCAACCATTACAAAGATACGAGACAGGAGGAATTTCTTTTGGTACCAGGGATTGAATTGGGATCATTGCAGTTGGGAGGCAGGAGTCAGAACCACTGAGCTAAATCCCCGGCCCCAGTAGGAATTCTTATATGCTGTTTGTGCCAAGGTAAATCGGTATACCATTTTGTCATTACTCAGTAGTGTGCAATATCTTATACACTTGCATTGATTTCCTGGGAGATGTTATTGAGAATGATTTTAGTAACGTTGTAGGTAATAGTAACAACTAGAAACAACCCAAGGTAATAAACAAACAGTGGTTAAACAAAGTTTGGTGCATTCACACATAGAATACTAATATGAATGCACACTAGAAACGCATATCAACATGGTTGCATATAGGCAACGTTGAAGACCAAAAAAGCAAGTGGCAAAATAATATATGCAGTGTTACTCCATTTATACGAAGCTAAAACTGTGAACAGAATATAATGATACAGTTTTTTTTTTTTTTTTTTTTTTTTTTT